AGATACAAATGAACTTATTTACAAAACAGAAATAGACTCACAAACATAGAAAAAAACTTATGGTTACCAAAGGGAAAAGAGAAAAAAGCAGGGGTTTGGGATGAAAAGATACACACTAATATGCATAAAATAGATAAACAACAAGGACCTACTGCATAGCACAGGGAACTATATTCAATATCTTGTAATAACCTATAGTGGAAAAGAATCCAAATCAGGATGTGTATGTGTTTGTATAACAGAATAATTTTGCTAAAAAAACTGAAACTAACAAAACATTGTGAATCGATAATACTTCAATTTAAAAAAATAGCCTGCAGAGAGGGAGGGGGAGAGTCATACTCTGGAAAAGATCCATTGCCTACTCCAGGATTTATATTTAGAAGTTAAGCAAAACGATATCTGCCACTTGCTTTTACTGGTTCAAGAGTAGTAGGTAATCTATTTACCTAAGTAAATTATGGTTACAAAAGTAACCATAAATCGGTCTTCCCCAGTGGCTCAGGGGTAAAGAATCCACCTTCAATGCAGGAGACACAGGTTCAATCCCTGGGTCAGAAAGATCCACTGGAGTAGGAAATGGCAACCCACTCCAGTATTCTTGCCTGGGAAATCCCATGGACAAAGAAGCCTGGTGGGCTGCAGCCCATGGGGTTGTTAGGAGTCAGACACGACCGAGCATAGCATACACACACACACACACAAAGCATCTTTTAAAAAAATCCCTGTTGGTATCTGTGCTTCAGCCGCATTCAGTGTCTCATATTGCAGTTCATATTTTCTGCTAATTATTTACTATACCAGACTAGAAATACTGAATTCCACATTTAAATTCATATGTCCTTTCACTTGGCCTAAATCACTATATAATAACTAACATCTGATTAGGGTGTTAGTAATCCACAAAGAATGTAGGTGGGTGGAAATGAAAGAGTATTACACAATAGTCTGTTAACTATATTATTACAGTAGTTATTAATTATTGCTTTAGAAATTTCATCAGCATAAAAACTATTCTAAGAATGAATTACTTGTTATGTATGTATTATTTTAAGGTGCTAAAATTAAAAAAAATTAATCCTATCTGACATCTATCAAGAAGGAAAAACAGGGAATTCCCTGACAGTCCAGTGGTTAGGACTCGGCACTTTCACTGCTGTAGGCCCAGGTTCAAATCGGTCAGGGAACTAAAATCCTGAAAAGTCAAAAAAATAATCATAATAATCAGGGCCAGAACATGGAAAGCTCTTATAAAACTAATTGGATCACTGAATACATTTTTGTAAAAAATAAGGTGGTGGGTGGGAGCGAATGTCCCAGGTGTTATTTCAGGTGAACATAGATGAATCCAGATCCATTAATGATTGATCTAAATTTATCTTCTACCTCCATTTAAACTATGAAGGAAAAATTCCAAGAAATAACTGGAAGAGGAGGAAAACGAAGAATCCTTTCATCTAACTTTTTTTGCATATTTAATTCAACCCAAGGACCTAGCCATGTAATTTGAATATTAGACTCAAATCTAAACTCTAGAAATTTGAATGTTTGGATATGAAACGCAAATTAAAATTCTTAAAAATTATTTGCTTTAAGTAAGAACGTTGGGACTTCCCTGGTAAATTCACCTTGCAATGCTGGGGATGATGGTTCGATCCCTAGCCTGGGAACTAAGATCCTGCATGCCTCAGAGCAACTAAACCCACTCGCATCAACTACTGAGTCCTCATGCCACAACTAGAGAGCCTGTGTGCTGTAAGGAAAGATCCTGAATGATACAGCATTGATCCTGCATGCTGCAGCTAAGACCCAACACAGCTAAGTTAATTAGTTTAATTAATTAAAATAATGTCATTTAATTAATTAAGATAAGGACGTTTAACTTCCAAAAGACAGAAATGTTTCACCAAATCCTTCCCACTGAGGAATAAAAGATCAGATTCAGATGAGTTTATTTCATCTCAAAGATTCTTAAAATTCATCTTTATTTCAAGCTCTGGACATGGAAAAAATATACTAAAAAGAGAATGAGTAGAGGATGGTAGTTGCTGTGATTTATCACTAAGATTTTTTTAGGGATGAAGGACTTGCTTCTCTCACCTGCTAAGACCCACACACTAGAGCTTCCCCAAGGTGGACTGAGCCCTTCATGGGGCTGAACCACAGCCCAGCTTCTCCTTCTGCCCAGTCCTGCCCTCTTGGCTTCCCTTCCACAGCTGTGGAGTCCCACAGTCTTGGTCACTTGCCTCTCAAGGAGTCAAACAGAAATTGACAGACAGCCTGGATCATATATATTAAAACAAGAAAGTGAGGGGAACAATCCACAACAGTTTGCAATATTCAAAGTTAGGATCGGATTTAGTACAACTACCAAAGAATTGAAAGCAAGCTCCCCAACAGATGTTTGTACACCCATATTCATTGCAGCTGCATTCACAACAGCCAATAAGCAGAAGCAATCTATGTGCACGTCAACGGATGAATGAATAAACAAAATGAAATAGATAAACACAACGGGCTGTAACTCATCCTTAAAAAGAAAGGAAACTCTGACACATGCTACAACATGGATGAACCTTGAGAACTACGTGAAATAAGCCAGTCATGACAAGATAAACACTGTTTGATTTCACTCATACAAAGTGGTCAGATTCATAGAAACACAAAGTTAAATGGCGGATGCCAGGGTTTGGGAGGAGAGAGTAAGAGAAGATGCTGTTTAATGGGTCTGAATTTTCAGTTTTGCAAAAAGGGTCTAGAGATTGGTTGCACAACAATGTAAATATGTTTAACACTACTGAACTGTTTAAAAAAAATTAAGGTCTGATCTGAAAAAGAAATACCGATGTAGCAGAGTCTATGTAAAAATAAGAGAAAATATTGGCACTATATCTGACACAATATACACAATTCAGCTTTGGGTAAGGCTGTGCCTAAAGTCCCAGAAGAAAACTCCACAGTTCTGACAATATATGTGAGGAACATTTATGCAGAATATAAAAACTGGCAGGGACTTCCCTGGTGATCCAGAGGCTAAGACTCTGTGTTCCCAATGCAGAGAGACTGAACGCAGTTCCACTGAAATAAAACGAGGGAGGGGTTTTCAGCACTGGACAAACTAGTGGGAAAGTGCTGGAGACAGAGGGGAGGTTGGTCCAAGGGATGGTCCAGCAGAATGACTTACTCCTCTGTTTGCAAGTGTTCTTTGCTGTGATGAGGCATCTGTGTTTGCTAATTTGGCTTCTGCCCCGCCATACACAGAGCCTGGGGGACAGGGGTACTATCTTCCTTAATGATGACATTTCGAAGGGATGGCTCCCAGGTCCTTGAGAAAGACATTCCTGGGCTGTGAAACTGGCAAGAAGCTGGGAGAAGATCTACTATGTTTCAGAGGGACAGGGAAAGAATCGGCAATGACAAGTTTTCTAAAGTAAACGCTCTAAGAAAAGGGAGGCTGGGGTTTCCTGTAGTCAGGAAGAAACCCCGTGCTGAGTTTCATCAAGCTCAGGAAACCAGTAAGGCTGTCCTGGTAACTGCCTCTGCCCATCCATCTGTGGTCTCATGACCCTAGGTCTCTGCATGTGCCCGGTGCCCACGCCGTAGGGCACAGTGAGTGGGTATGACCCCAGCAGGCTGTGCCTTCAAGCAGCGAGAAGCAAGGTGGATCAGGCGGTGAGGACCTGGGGTCTGTCTCTGTCACAGGCCCCACTGCCCATCTGGAAGTCCCCATCTGCCCAATGTCTGAGTGTCCACATGGGTGTGTCCCATGCTTGGGCAAAAGTGTATGTCTCCAATCATCTGCCTGTGTCTGTCCCCTCCAGTGTGTTTAAATTCATTCACTTAATCTAGGGACTTCCCCGGTGGTCCACTGACTAAGACTCCACTCTCCCAATGCAGAGGGCCTGGGTTCGATCCCTGGTCAGGGAATTAGATCCCATATGCAGCCATTAAAGATCCTGTGTGCCACAACTGAGACCCAGCACAGCCAAATTAGGGAAAAAAAAAAAAAAGAATCCAACTTGCAATTCAGGGGACATGGGTTCGATCCCTGGCCGGGAACTAAGATCCCACATCCCACAGAGCAGTTGTGCCATGACTAGAGAGTCTGTGCGCCACAACCAAAGATCCCACGTGATGCAACTAAGATCCAACACTGCCAAATAAATAAAATATTTAAAGCAACCTAATAAAAATCTATCGAATGCCTTCTGTGGGCATGTCCGGTTCATCAGGTCTGGGTTGATTCGCCTGTCTAGATATGGATCTATCCACACCGGGTGTGCCTGTTTTTCTGCATCCTGTGAGTAACTGCCTCTCTGGGTGGCTCTGTCTCCCTGTCATTTTGTCAGGTCCTTGATTCATTCATTCCTACATCATCACAAACATCCCCCGAGACCCCTGAGGAATTCACAGCCTGATGGAGGAGACAGACATTAGCCTAACCCAGAGTGACCAAGGCTGGGAGACAGGGAGGTGCTTGAGGCCGAGGGTGGGGGCATGATTGTTGGGACGGGGGTGTGGGTCAGGGAAGGCTTCAGGGAGGAGGTGATGTTTGCTCCTCTGGGTCTGGAGGCATGGTCCCTTAGAGGTGGAACGTGTCAGGGTGAAGTAAGAGAAGTCAGAGGCCACGTGTGCCCACCTCAGACTAGGACACAGTGCTGGGGGAACGGGGTAGACAGCCCCCAAAACACAAGTCCCCCCAAAATGAAGGGTTACAAGGCCCCAGCCCCTCCTCCCCCAGACCCGGGATCCAGGCCCCCAGCCCCTCCTCCCTCAGACCCAGGGGTCCAGCCCCCAGCCCCTCCTCCCTCAGACCCAGGATCCAGGCCCCCGGCCCCTCCTCCCCCAGACCCAGGGTCCAGGCCCCCATCATGATTATCTAGGAGGAGACTAGCCCAGGCGGGGGAGGGCGGGGGTGGAGAAATGCCAACCTGCCCGGGTAGCCAGGACGCCTGAGGCTTGGCTTGGAGAACCAGCCAGGCAGAAGTCAGAGCAGGAGGAGCTGTCCTCCGAGTCTCCACTCAGGTCCACAACATGGCAGTGGGAGTCGCCAGAGTCATCCTGCTGTGCCTCTTTGGGCCTGTCCTCTGCCTGACAGATGTCCAGACTTCTGAGCCCAGTGGTAAGAAGGGCAGTTGGGTGGGTGGAAGCAGGACTCTTCTGGGTCTGAGGGAGCAGAGAGAGTGGGCGCCAGATTCCAGGGACTCAGGGAAAAGTGAACTGGGGGCCCTGACTCCTGGGTCTGATGGAGGAGGCTCTGGGGGTCTGGACCCTGGGTCTGATGGAGGAGGCTCTGGGGGTCTGGACCCTGGGTCTGATGGAGGAGGTTCTGGGGGTCTGGACTCCTGGGTCTTGGTCAGAGAGACTGTGTCCTCTCACTTCTCTTCCCCTCCTCTGGTCTTCCCACATCACTCACTTCCTCCACTATCTCTGGTTCACTACTCTGGCCTTTCTCATCTGCTTCACCCATGTCCCCATTCATTCAAAGGTACTTCAGGGGAGGCATGGGGGCTCCTTCTAGAGCTGGCAGGAAACCTTGACTCAGGCAACCTCTTCCCCTACAGGGACACAGTCATATCAGGATTGAAGTGGCTACAAAGGCAGGAAATTTGAGAGGTGGGAAGGAGGTCACGCCTGCACACAACTTTATGTGTGTGTGTGCGCTCATCACAGGAAGAAGAGAGTTCAATTTCTGTGTGTGTCCATGTGTCAGCATGTGCTGTGGGTCTCTGTGCTTGTGTGTGTGTATTTATAGCAGGTTTTGGTGTCTGGGTATTTGAACAAATGTTTTCATGGGTCTGTTCATCTCTGATCCTCAGTTTCTTTGTAAAAGAGATGTGAGTATAATTTTGCATCTCTGCTTCTCTTTGTGCATCTCTATGACAAGTAGGCCTGTGTTTCTCTCTATGTATGTGTGTTTGGGTATGATGTGTGTCTCTCTCTCTGTGTATCTGTTGTGTGTCTCCATGAATCTTGTATCTGAATATGGTTTTAAGTTGTCTGATTTTGTAAGTCTCTTTTTTGGTGTATCTCTATCTTTGCCTAATTGTAGGCTCTGATTTTATTTGTGATTCTTGGGTCTGTTTGTCTCTCTGGGTATGACTTCCAGTGATCCTGGGTTTGTGTGTTGTGACTGTTTCTGTATCCACACATATTTCTATCTGAGATTCTGAATTATGTATGTATGAGATACCTTGGTTTAGGGAGTTTCTATTGGAGGGTCTGGGTGGTACTTGTTTTGTGTATGAATGTAGAACTCTACATGAACGCATACAGGGTACTCTGCATATATTTCTGAGATTGGCATGAACCAGTGAAAATTTTGTTATTCTGTGTTTACATCAGTATTTCAGTGTTTGACCAGGTATCACAGGGGCTACCTGTGCGTGAGTATTTGTAGCATGAGATTGCACATCCTTGGGCTTGTACTAGAGTGTTTGTTTTCCATCAGTGTCCTTTCAGTGCTACTGGATATTGTGTGTTTTGTTGTGAGAAGGGAAGGCAGAGCAGGAGTGAATTGCTTCCTCCTTTATCAAAATCTCAGAGGGCTTCCTGGAAGAGGATGGAAATTTGGAACAGCCTGGGGGAAAAAATGAGACTGGCAGGTGCAGAGGCCAATACCCTTGCCAAGAGTCAGGCACAGTCATGGGCAGCCACACCAGCAGACCCTGCTTCCCTGAAGGCAACAAGGCCTGTCACCTCTCAGAGCAGAAGGGCCTGGCTGTCATCTTTAGGGCGGAGCCCCAAGTGCCTGGCACAGGCTCATCGCAGGCCTGTTCCTCTCACCGAACCCCTGCTCCTCTCCCCAGGGTCCCAGGCCCGGCAATGCTACAGCTTCCAACACATCTACTTCGGGCCCTTTGACCTCAGTGAAGTGAACTTCAGCAATGTCTCCTGCCCGCAGGGATGCTCTGAGGCTGTCTTGTCCCTGAACACTGGTGAGGGGCAGGACACGCAGAATAAGAAAGGGGCGGGGACGGGGGAGAAACATCAGCCAGGTGGCGGTGGGAAAGGGGGGATGGAGTAGGAGGCAAAGGTTGGGGAGGAACTGGGTAGGTGAGGAGAGGAAAGGCGGCGATAGAGATGGGGAGGTGGAGGGAGGAGGAAGCGGGAGAGAAAGAGGGGATGAGGGGGAGGGAGGTGGGAGGAGGAGACCGTGTGGAGCCAGGAGGNCGAGAGGGCGGGGCTGGGCGTGGGGCGGGACGGGCCCCCCGGAGTGCGGGGCGTGGCCTCCGCTGGGCTCCTCCTCCCGGCGCGCTGGCCTTCCAGCCTTCGAGTCAAGCAAGGTGGGCGCCCTGGCGCAGTGCGCACGCCCCACGTCCGGACGGCGGACGGTGACCTGAGTGTGCCTCCACGCTCTCTTGGTAGCGCCCAACCCGCCGACACTCAGCGGCACCGAATGCTACGCCTGCGTGGGGATCCACCCAGAGGACTGCACCCCGGAGAAGTCCCGGCGGGTCCAGTGTCACCAGGACCAGAGCGTCTGCTTCCAGGGCAATGGACGAATGACCCTGGGTGAGGGGCTGGGACCGCCTGGGCAAGGGGCGTGGAGGCAGGGCAGGACTGACTGAGACATGGCCCTGGTCTAAAGAAGGAGGCATGGCCCTGGTCTGAGGGAGGAGGCATTGCCCTGTTCTGAGGGAGGAGGCATGCCCTGGTCTGAGGGAGGAGGCATGGCCCTGTTCTGAGGGAGGAGGCATGCCCTGGTCTGAGGGAGGAGGCATGCCCTGTTCTGAGGGAGGAGGCATGCCCTGGTCTGAGGGAGGAGGCATGGCCCTGGTCTAAGGAAGGGACTGGAAGGAAGTCCGAGGACCCAGTCATAGCCTTGGCCTCTGAGGTGGAGCTTCAGGTGTGGCTGCCTCCCTCTGTCCTGACCCTTCCTCATCACCCCTCTCCCAGGCAATTTCTCAGCCCCTGTGTACGTCCGAACCTGCCAACGGCCCTCCTGCACCATCAAGGGCACCACCAGCCCCTGGACAAACATCGACCTGCAGGGCTCCTGCTGTGAGGGGGACCTGTGCAACAGGGGCTCCCTGACCCAGTCCTTCACCAGCGCCTCAGACACCGCCGCCCCCCGGGTGCCCCCTGTCACAGTCCTGCTCCTCACGGTCTCCCTGCTGGGTGGCGCTCTGGGAGGAACCCTCGGGCTCTCCTCCTAGTCAGTCCCTTCAGCCTCTTCCTGAATGGGATGCTGGGGGCAGGGCACACACACCCCCTTCTCATTGCTTCACTCCCTGGAATGTGGAAAATCAGAGTTGCACACCTGTCTCTCTCTTTCCCTCCCTCCCTCCCTCCTGCTTCCCTACTGATGCCTAGCCCTCACCTGGTCAGCAGGCCTGGAAGAAACTGGGCAAGGCCCCCAGCACTCCAGGGTGGGGAGAAATGGCCACATCCCACATAAAGAGCAAACCTGACCCATGCTGAGCACCAAACAGGCCCAGACTCTGCACAGCCCATTTCCTGGTTGTGGGTTTCCTGGTCTGAGGCTATCCCACAACCCAACCAGCTCCAGCAGGGAGCTACAATGATGTCTTTATTAGTATCATCATGGGAGACTTGAAAGGCAGTATAACCAGCATATCCTAGACACTAGGAGCCCAGACCCTGAAGCATATCCTAGACACTAGGAGCCCAGACCCTGAAGTCAGGCTGCATAGGTTCAAATCCCACCTCTACCATTTAGCCTGTGGGTGACCTTGGGTGGTTACTTAACCTCACTGAGACTATGTTTCCTCACCTGTTGGGCAGAGGTGAAAATAAAACCTACAATAATGACAAGATCTACTTCCCAGTGGTTGTGGTCAGAATTTAACAAGAATGAACGTGGAGTACCGGGGACAAAACTGTCACCCACTGTTATGGTCCTCATGTCACAGACGAGAAGATGTGATGCTTGCAAAGGCACTTGATTGACCTCATGTATCTCATGAGTGGGAAGCGTGACTCCAAGCCCTGTGAACCACTAGGCAACTCTGTCTCACAAACACATGGATGTTGATTAAATTGATAGAAAAACACTTGAGGCCTCTTCCTCTCGGTCCCATATTGAACTCGAGTTGGAAGAGGCGAGTCCGGTCTCAAAATGGTGGTAAAACCGCCGCCCGGTCGCCCCCAGCCCGACTCCGGCCGTCGCCGTCGCCGCTGGGGGGAGGAGGGTCATGATCCCAAGGAACCAGAGCAGTTGAGAAAGCTGTTTATCGGTGGTCTGAGCTTTGAAACTACAGATGATAGCTTAAGAGAACATTTTGAGAAATGGGGCACGCTTACAGATTGTGTGGTGATGAGAGACCCCAAACAAAACGTTCCAGGGGCTTTGGCTTTGTGACTTACTCTTGTGTTGAAGAAGTGGATGCAGCAATGTGTGCATGACCACACAAGGTTGATGGGCGTGTAGTGGAGCCAAAGAGAGCTGTTTCTAGAGAGGATTCTGTAAAGCCTGGTGCCCATCTAACAGTGAAGAAAATTTTTGTTGGTGGTATTAAAGAAGATACAGAAGAATATAATTTGAGAGACTACTTTGAAAAGTATGGCAAGATTGAAACCATAGAAGTTATGGAAGACAGGCAGAGTGGGAAAAAGAGGGGATTTGCTTTTGTAACTTTTGATGATCATGATACAGTTGATAAAATTGTTGTTCAGAAATACCACACTATTAATGGGCATAATTGTGAAGTGAAAAAGGCCCTTTCTAAACAAGAGATGCAATCTGCTGGATCACAAAGAGGTCGTGGAGGTGGATCCGGCAACTTTATGGGTCGTGGAGGAAACTTTGGAGGTGGTGGAGGTAACTTTGGCCGTGGTGGAAACTTTGGTGGAAGAGGAGGCTATGGTGGTGGAGGTGGTGGCAGCCGAGGGAGTTATGGAGGAGGTGATGGTGGATACAATGGATTTGGAGGTGATGGTGGCAACTATGGCGGTGGTCCTGGTTATAGTAGTAGAGGAGGTTACGGTGGTGGTGGACCAGGATATGGAAACCAAGGTGGTGGATATGGTGGCGGTGGTGGAGGATATGATGGTTACAATGAAGGAGGAAATTTTGGAGGTAACTATGGTGGTGGTGGAAACTATAATGATTTTGGAAATTATAGTGGACAACAGCAATCAAATTATGGACCCATGAAAGGGGGTAGTTTTGGTGGAAGAAGCTCGGGCAGTCCCTATGGTGGTGGTTATGGATCTGGTGGTGGAAGTGGTGGATATGGTAGCAGAAGGTTCTAAAAACTCAGAAGAAAAGGGCTACAGTTCTTAGCAGGAGAGAGAGCGAGGAGTTGTCAGGAAAGCTGCAGGTTACTTTGAGACAGTCGTCCCAAATGCGTTAGAGGAACTGTAAAAATCTGCCACAGGAGGAACGATGATCCATAGTCAGAAAAGTTACTGCAGCTTAAACAGGAAACCCTTCTTGTTCAGGACTGTCATAGCCACAGTTTGCAAAAAGTGCAGCTATTGATTAATGCAATGTAGTGTCAATTAGATGTACATTCCTGAGGTCTTTTATCTGTTGTAGCTTTGTCTTTTTCTTTTTCTTTTCATTACATCAGGTATATTGCCCTGTAAATTGTGGTAGTGGTACCAGGAATAAAAAATTAAGGAATTTTTAACTTTAAAAAAATAA